AAGAAGTGAAGCAAAAAACGGTAAAAAGCTAATTGAAAAGTGAAAAAGTTGATAAGCCTAGTCAACAATGATATTTAGGTTTATAAACTAAAATAATATAAGTTTGCATTAATGCATCTAATGCCTTTCTTTCTCTCTCAGAGTGTTTTTAATGAATTTCTTCTAGAAGCACTTTTGTTATTTTTCTTAATATATTCGGGCAAGTTGGCGTTTCTTGTTATTACATTGATATTAATGTTTCCCATCAAAATATCCATATTTTTTTGAATGTTACAAAGGTAACAAAGGTTGCTTGAAGTTTTAATTTTTAAAGGATTTCACTGAGTGCCCTATAAAGGGTTAAAGTGGGGGCTGCAGCCCCTAGATTGCCACCAGGGGGCACTAGGGAGGCCGAGGAAATTTGGAAAAATAAATAAAATACACAAATAAAAGAAAAATGTTTTTTATTATCGAAAAAAATACGATTTTATTATGTCTTTCAAAATTATGACATCAAATTCGTATGAATATGTTATATTGAAATAAACTGAGGAGATTAAAAACTTAACAGTGTGGCTGTTTCTATAACTCTGCTATATATCCAAGACAAGACTCTTATACAACTAGGATGATTAGACAATGAAATTATATTATTCGCAGCGAGAAAACTCCCTTTGGCAATTTTAATTATTTTATGATCTTATTACAATTTTTTTTAAAGTATTTTTATCAAGAGGGAATATCAAACATTTAATAGATTGTTTTCTAACTTTTGTATGAGTGGTATATTTATATCAACACCCCCTCCAAATAAATAAATAAAAACATTACAGAAAATTGTCCTGGTGCATTTATACAGTCAAGAGTGAACTTTAGTATGAAAATATTTAATTAGACACGTAAAAAAGAATGCATCACCCTCAAAAGAGCTTTATAATCAGGGTCTTTCAAATGGACATGTTGGGCTTATAATTAAATGTAAATTTTGTCAATGATTGTAGGCTTTTTTATCACCAATGATCTGCATTTAGTCCAGATACTGGGCATTAGTAATTACATTTTAATGCAAAACAGGCACAAACAATTTCAAGTAGAGTGTAAAGGACTAGAAAAATATACTTTTTGTATGCTTTAACTGCTTCAACTTCAATTATATGTCATTACTAGCTGGATATTACTTGATTTTAATCATGTGTTTGTCTTTCCTACCGAAAACAACTTTATGGTTAGAATTCCACTATTTATTTTGGACCAATCCCGAATAAGCAGCAGTCTTTGACAGCCAATCAACGCAGAGCTTTCTGTTGGAGGCGTTTCCTAGACACGTACCCTCTAAAGAGCTCTGCATTCAGGGTCTTTCAGATGGACATGTCGGGCTGATAATTAAATGTAACCTTTGTCAACGATTGTAGGCTTTGTTATCACCAACGATCTGCATTTAGTCTAGATACTGGGCAATAATAATGACATCTTAATGCAAAAAAGGGCACAATTTCAATGAATAATTTCAAGCAGTGTAAAGCACAAGAAAATTATAATTTTTTATGCTTTAGCTGGTTTAACTTCAATTATACGTCAATACTGGCTGGATATTACTTGATTTTATCATGTGTTTGTCTTTTCTAACGAAAACAACTAACTTTATGGAAAGAATTCCACAATTTATTTTGGACCAATCCCGAATAAGAAGCAGTCTTTGACAGCCAATCAACGCAGAGCTTTGTGTTGGGGGGCGTTTCCTTGTGGAAGGAATGCAGTGCGGCGGTGCGGCGCATCCTCCCGGGCCGGTTAGAGTTCGGTTGAGAAGGTGCTGGATGGTGGGGGGAGTACCACTGATGAGAGCGCGGCTGAAGGAAGGGAAAGCCAAAGGATTTATACGTTTATTCACTGGAAACTGACCAGAACCACCGGCGGCAGGTCGTATTCATCTCCCGCGTGCGGTAAGTTGAGGAGAGAAGCCCGGGAAGGGAGAGCTTTAATGTGGGATGTAGCGGATAGCAGCAGCCTCCGTTAGCTAGCGGATTATTGTGACTTTTTAATGATGGAGGAGCCTCAGTTCTGCTAATGTTCGCTGGTAATGCTAAACCTCTGGGATATTTCTAACTTCTTCCACTGGGTTTGATAGAATGTTTAGATGTTTAATAAAAAAGCGTTATTGTTTAGGAGCCTGATGTGAAGCGACGTGGTCATTGTCCTGCTTTTATCCTGAGCCAGACGTCTCTGAGCCACCCACACCCACGATGGGATTCTAGAGGTTAAAATATATCCTAGAACTCTCATGTGCTTTCAGTAGATTGCATTTTAGATTCATTTATGTTCATATGCGCATTGAAAGTGAGCCTCCAGCAGGCAGGCATATTGAGGTGGTGATGGACAGAGTGGAGGCAGGCATGTTTTAGAGCAGCTGGGATCCGAGGCTCAGGCAACTTTGAGCTGCCGTTAGCCAGCTAGATTAGCCGCTGCAGCTGCTCGGCCTGTCCGGACAGAGGATGAGGCCGCCACTCATGTTTATATAGAATATAAGCTTCTTTCTTTTTAGATGATCAGGGCCACTGGAAATGAAAGGTAACTGATTTTTAAATATTATTTCGGTTCGATATGGGGAAAAAGTCAGAATTCTTTCTTT